ATGCTCTACAGGTTTGGCTACAGACAAACCTTATGGTGGCATTTGTTAATTTAATGTTTCATATTCTAATGCGGCTTTAGCAGTGTTCACTGGGCAGAACAGTTTGTGATGTTGAAAATCCCAAACCCTGTTTCTAGAACACAAGGTGGTGGTAGGGTTTCTCCACAAAGCTTGAGAAGGCTGTGTAGAGATGACCTGAAAATAAGAACAGGAAAAGAAGTCTTCTTTAAACTAATTTTAAGGGAGGGAGAGAGATTGACAATGACAAGCCATAAGAATGGCTGCTTCACTGTGCTGTCTAGACAGAAACAGTAAGAAACTCGGCCCTGAGCTTCTTTAGTTCAAATAGGATTCTCCTCAGGTACCACCTTTTGCAGCTTGTCTACCGCTCTGCATGGGGCAGGGTGCAGACAGCCCACAGCCCACAATTCCTGCAGCTCACACTGACAGGCCCCTGCTGAGGTGCCTGTGAATCCCTGTGTAACACACATTAAGAGAACATTGACCTAGGATACGGCAGAGTTGATTTATGTAGAGTTTGGCAAAAACAGATGAGAAAAGAGATCCCAGTAAGTCTCCTGCCTCACACACAGAACCGTCTCCGTCTATAGACAAGAAGAGACACAGCCTAGGGACACATGTGTTTAATTTACCTCCTGGGGAAGTTACCACAGCTGGGAGATGAGCCTTTCCCTTACTGTCAGGATGTCCACCTCCAGCTGGTGATTCCTCCAGGGAGTAGAGCTGACAGCTCAAGTGTGAAAACAGACCCTAAGTCCTGGGACAGCTATGTTAGAATATTGGTCCTCCTGGACTTCCCCCTGGCTGGATGGAGACAGACAGACAGCCAACCTGGGAAGACAGCTCTGCCCTCATGACTTATTCTCACCTCCCTTTGTCCTCTTAGTTGAGCCCCAGGTGACCGTGTACCCGACAAAGACTCAACCCCTGGAGCACCGCAACCTCCTGGTCTGCTCTGTGAGCGGCTTCTACCCTGGCCACATTGAAGTCAGATGGTTCCGGAACGACCAGGAGGAGAAGGCTGGGGTCGTATCCACAGGCCTGATCCAGAATGGAGACTGGACCTTCCAAATCCTGGTGATGCTGGAGACGGTTCCTCAGAGTGGAGAGGTTTATACCTGCCAGGTGGAGCATCCCAGCCTGGCCAACTCTGTCACAGTGGAGTGGAGTGAGTGAAAAGCTCTTGTCCTTGCAAATTCCTGCCCACTAGGGAGTGGCTGGGCATAGCCCTGTCTGTCAGTTTTCTCTGACCCTGTGAGTCCCTGCCCACAGGGAGGGGCGTGGCTTACCGCCTGCCAGCTCTCAATGCCCACACACTTTCCACTGGTCTGTGCTGTGCTGTCCTTCAGCATGGCTCACAGGGGTAGGTGTGTGCCTGTCTACAAGCACCTTGGTCCCCTGGGAAGCAGTTAGGCCACCACACACTCTTCTGAGCCTTCCAGTGACACCACAGCAAGGGTCCTGCTTGTCCCTGGCTGCAGCCTCTGCCTCTGGCTGGGTTGTGTTTCTGCTGCTGCTCATGCAGATG